CGACTTTAGAAAGAATAGCTATCCTTGAATTTCCTCCAAACCAAGTCCCGGTTACCTCCCTGTTTGCAGACAATCTCACAGTCCTCATCAAAGCCTCTGAAACCAGCCTGAGAGCCCTGCAAGAAACAATTCATTTGTTTTCGATAGCTGCAGACACCAGGGCTTGCTTAGCCCTGGTGCCTATCACTGCTGTTCGGTCCAAGTGGCGATGGTCCTGAGTGCTGGTCACACTGAGGTAGGATAGTGGGATAGGGGGTGCGCTAGGAGTATTGACGTGAGGATGGGTTGGGATGGGGTCTCATAAGGGACACCCACGGCTCACAGTTCCAGGCAATCACTGTGCACTCACTGACTGACCTCTACAACACCCTGGACTTCAAAAAAAAAAAAAAAAAAAAAAAAAAAAAGGTAAACTGGGGCACTAAAACAGAGGGTGGTTGCACCCCCAAGGGGAGCTTCCCTCTTATCAACCCCAAGTCAATTAGAGAGCCCAAGAAGAAGCAATTCAGGTCTTGGGAGTGAGGCTCACGACCTTGGGCCCTCCCAAAGGCCATGGTGATCTCCTGGTCGGAACTGCTATTAAACGCATGTCCTCTTGGAAAGGTCTTCACACCTCCTTGGTTCTGAGCGCCCTGGTCATTAACAATGCCATCCTCTCCACAATCTGGTACAAAACCATCTTTCGGCCATTTGACTCAAAACAGCTACTCAATCTCTGAGGTGCAAGCTCTGCCTACCTGTGGAGAAACGATCATGAGCTCAGATCTTGTATCAAAAGAGTAGCATGGAACCAGATCGCACAACCTAGATCCAAGGGAGGTTTGGCCATCATCGACCCGGACGATGAGATCAAGGCGTTGATTTTCAAAGTGATTGTCAGATTGCTTTTAGCCAACGACGTTCCATGGCCCCCCTAGCCCACATCCAACTCAAAAACTTGGCTCCTCAAGCAACTGGCTATAGACAAGTACACCCTCTAGCACGGCTAATGACTCCTGTTTGGTCGATCTCAACAGCTCCCGAACAACACCAACCACCCTCCAACCCCACAGAAGAGGACTTACGCAATGATCCACTCGGGATATCTCTTCTGTCCCTATGGAGGGAAGTAGACCCCCAAAAAATGTCTTCCCAATCAGATGGCATGAGGTATGGAGACAACCACTGTTTGGCAATCCTGATATCGTCGCTCCGTTGGGTAAACCTTTCTCAATCCACCAGCGATTGCACTGGCTGTCATGGACAAAGAAAGGTGTTTTCACTGTAGGGGATCTTCGGGACTATACCAAAGGGCAACGAAAAACCGGAGCTCAACTGCCTAGAAAGGAATTTGGGCGCTGGTCAGAAAACTCTTGGATTATTCATCTCCTCAGTTGGGATTACTTCTATCTCTCTTCTGCATATGTTTAACGAATGCGTCCGTATGAATGTTTCGTCGTTTTCAACAGTTTGCAAAGGAGGGTGTATCCTGGCCGACACATGGAAGGTTCTGAAACGCGTGTTTGGAGCCTCGATTGTATGCAGCAAGCATGGTAGAAACCAATTGAAGCACTGTCGGAACTGGATTGAGAATCAGGGCGTCTTTCACGTAAGCATTATTGTCAAATTTTGCTCACGATCTCAATCCCTCAAAGAACCTATTGCTCACCTGCTTAGCCATCCTAATGAATGGAAGTCGCTCTACGCTTGGCCTCTTGATCGACTGATTTTTGCATACAACTTCATGCGATGTTTTTCCAGGAAGGACTCTAGACAAACTCTACGTATGATTATCTCTGGCATTATCCGGAGGAGGTTTGGGTTCTGTCCACGAAAAAGGCTGGTGCTTCCAGTCAAGTTTTCTGATCTTGTATCTAAAGCAGCCGTTAGAACTGTCTGTACACAACTGATTAGGGAAACTCAGTTACCGGTATCTCTGGCAGGCATGCTGACTCTGGCAGGCATGCTGACCAGGAGAATGCGTATTGTGTGGACCAAGAATCAGAGTTCAGCCAAATCTCTTCACAATTTTCGATCCTACTCACGAATGGAACATTCACATTGTGTTTGTGATAGGGTAGAGGATAGATTCAGGAAGTTCATGATGACTGATGCTGGATGGGTTTATTCCTGTTTTTCCCCCCCTGATAAATCCTCAGTTGATGGTTCTCCTCCCACCCCCTCTCCCACCCCCTCTCCTTCCTTCTCCTCCTCCTCCTCCTCTTCCTCCTCCTCCTCCTCCTTCCTTACCTCTTTCCCAACTCTGCTTCCAAGGACCAATGGGCACATTGTGTTTCGGGCTAAGGACTCAAAATTCATACCCGGAAGGCTTCGCGATTCCAGGAATATCCCTCCTCCCTCTTCGTATGGCCCCTCTCTCCTACGATCTCAGATCATGCGCACCCTCAAGGAGGTACAATTTCTTCCGACAACCCACATTTTCCGAGTGCCTACCGTGACTTCCCGCCTTCTCCCATGCTTCAAATCTCAGCACTCGCGAAGTCCTGTTCCCCCTCATCCAAGTATGATAATGAATGAGACCTCGGATTGCAAGGTCTCGAGCCTTAATCACCAGTTGAAGTCTCTTCCTTTCAACCCAGAAAGCGTGCAGATATGGAAGGCTGTATTGGATGGATTGGTCCTGTCTAAAGGCCGGTTAGGGAAAGGTTATGTGATTCCCATACACAAGAGTATCGAGAAGTGGCGGCCTATCTGTCCAACATCCTCGGAGCCGACCTTGCTTGCATGTAAACGGGTTACATCTTGCCTTAATGTGCTTATGAAAAAGCTTCCTGCCCCCTTGCATTTCAACTTATTCAGTACGTCGGATTTAGTTCCCGCCCTTGGTTCGATCAATGCTGCTTTGACCCCTTCGGATAACCTTCTGAGTGCGAGTTACGATGTCAAGGAGATGTTTACCAAGCTTCCCCATTCGTCTATTCGTCAAGCAGTCAGATGGATGGTTTGTTACTACCAGCTACAAGGTTACAAGGGGGTCTGGATAAAAAAGTATGGAAAAGGGGCCAAAAGTAAAGAGGGAGACAAGACAAAGAAAATGGCAAATCCACGTCCATCAACCTCAACTCTCTCTTTCCCTCTCTCTCTCTGATGCGGACAGTCCGTCGTCACGCACCAACCGACGAAGTTCTCACCCTGCTTAGTCCTCCTGCACCCGTCAGGTTCGCCCGCGCGCTACAGTCCATTGTAGCCCCACGCGTCAACCTCGCGCATTCGGCACCAGCTCGTCGGGTCGCCCGACTCCCACTTCAACTCACCTCTTACTTCGCTCGTGAGCCGACCCTAACTGATCGCGCTACCCCAATTTTCCGACCACTGGTTAAGAGAGCTATCTAATCGCGCAACCATAATTTATAGCGTGCATGCATGTGCGAAAAACACGGAATTGCAAGGACTTAGAAGGGAGATTAGGAGAGGGAGCGCCTACGTTCTGCATGACTAGACCGCGGCGTGGGGGACGTAGCCACTCTCCACGCATCGATCCGAGCATGCAGACCGCAAGCTGACTAGGCACGACAAAAGGGAAAGAGAGAGCGGGAAAGACGAAGCCCAAGAAGAAAGATACAGTTACAATGGCGCCCACCCAAAATTACAGTTACTTGCAAGATTAAGGGCGCTGACTAATCAGAGCTTCGTTGTAGCCGCAAAAAGAAGAGCGCAAGCAGAAGGCGTTGCGCAGCAAAGGAAATCCTATATTCCAAAATTCCTAAATTCCTATTTAATGCAAAAATGCAAGAAGCACAAATTCCGGAAAAGAAAATCCGAAATTCCGAGAGCTGTCAAGGGTTCGACAAGATTCGAAAAAGAAATTAAAAAAGAACGAAGCAAAATTCCCGCGCAACCTCTGCGCCTAAAACCCGACAACAGAACAAGAAAGAAGTGACGTCAAACATTATTATTCGCGCCTTTGTCGGTGCGACAGCCACTCAATCGGCCATCTCGGGACTTGTCCAACCCTGAACCCAGCCATTCGAAAAGAAGCGACGAAAAAGAAAAGACGAAGAAGCGAGGACACCGATGCGATTTCCCTTCGATCGCAATCTCCCGTAATTGGCCCAACCTTCCCATCTCAGGACCCCTCATTGTCGTCACGCAGAAACCGTGCGGAACAGAAATTGGTTCGTCACATATGTGACGCCCAGGGGTTTCCAATCTTAAGCAAGCTCCTGCTTGCTTGAATTATGACATGTGTCGATCTCTCTAATTGATCGATACGCGGAGCCTCCTTCGTTGCCACTTACCGTTCGATAAGAGTGTGGACGTCGTCCAGGGTGGCACACGTGGCTCTATCCTACAGTTTCCTTAGGATGAGCTCTCTTCGGTCCAAGGAGGGGATCGTGCGTGCCATCGCAGTGGCACGTGCCAATCAACTGTGCATCAATGACCTAAGGGAAGGGGAAAGGGAAGACGATACATGGGGGCGTGGCGAGGGGGTGGGTTAATCGGGAGTGGGGGCGAGGAGCATTCCGTCCTACAGGTTCCCCGGGAAGGGTAATTTAATTACCGATGGGGGAGGCGGTGGAGGATGCTGGGGACGAGGAGACGTGAAGCGATTGATGGTCGGAGATTCGAAAGCGGGAAGGGAGGTGTAATGGATGGAGCGATGCATACAGGGGAAACGAGGTTCCTCGCGATGGTGGGGGAGAGAGGCAATATAGTCGGGGTAGATAGTGGAGAGACTGCGGCGAAGAGCAGTGCTCAAATTCTCGTAGTTTTCGCAGGCGGGGATCGTTCCTGATATAATACAATATATTTCTCTATGGTTATATTCTCGCCAATCTGCGCTAAACAAGAGAACATGGAGAAGAAAAGAATCTACTACAGAGCGGGTGGTAACATGCGGAAAGACGGTGACTAGGAGGCGGGTGGCGTAAAGGTGGTGGAAGAGGTCGGGAGGAAAGGGGCACCATCCAACGGGGAGCGGGGGTCTACCAGGGAGTCGGGTGAGCATCAGGAAGTCAAGGGGACGGCGAGAGAACAAACGCGGACGAAGCCTGATCGCCCTCATGCAGAGTCATGCTAACGTAGGCGAAGGGCAGGTCGGGCAGAGGAACCAGATGAAGTCGGCTATTCACTCCTTCGGCGACGTCTTCCTGATCCCTCCGCTGCGGCTCCATTGTTTCCTTCGTCTTCCTTCGGGGGCTCTGGATCGAGCCACAGATTTCCCAACGATAGATCCATCAGGGACCTTTCCTCAACTGGCCGCTTCCCCTCCGCCTTTTCCAACCGTTTTCGTGCTCCTGCCTCTTCTCCTTTCCTGCTTCGCTCGGGCTGCTGACTCGGCCCACCTGCTACCTCTTCCTCGCCTGCTGGCTCCTCTTCTTCCTTATCCTCTTCTTCTTCCTGAATGTAATCAGGATCGTCACTATCTTCGCTCGATCCTTCTTCTTCTTCTTCTTCTTCTTCTTCTTCCTCGCCTTCTTCCTCGCCTTCTTCCTCGCCTTCTTGCTCCTCCTGCCACACGTTTCCTTGTCGGATGATGGGGTTCCAAACTGTGAGATCAGTGACGTCGATCTCAAGAAAAAGAGCCTGGGACGGATCGACACAGTTGTCACCGTCCAGCTCAGTACTCGTGGTCCACAACAGACGTGGCTCGAATGTTCGGGAAAGCACGTGGGTGCCAGGCTGATTGTCACACCGTGATAAGATATCCAGGGGCAGGTCGTCCACTAGTAGCTGTGTAAGAAACACCAGCAGTTCGCTAGTAATGAGAGCGAGATTTTTGTCATCTACCTTTCCAAATAGTATCCCCAACAGATCCTCCTCCGTCGCCGTTCTCCAAGCTTGTATGATCAGCAGTTCCACTTCGTCGTCTGGAAGTTTTGGACCTTCTCCATACGGCGCCGACTCAGACCAGTGGAATTCTACTTCCAACAAGCAAAAGGCAAGCTCTGCGTACGCCTCTCACCAGTCGCTCCACTTCTCCTCGCCCAATATCGGCACACTGACCTGCTTGACACGATAAGAGAGAGAGGGGGCGTGAGCAGATTGCCAGAGGGTGGGGATGTCAGAGGGGAGGCCAAAGAGAGAAAGTCGGAGACAACTCATCGGGGCGGCGCAAAGGGACGAAGCTCTGGTAACACGATCGGCAGCGAATCGCTGGAAGAGCGAACCTGCAGATCGATGTCGTGCGAGGGCATGACCGTATCTCCACGTCGAGCAAGGAGTGTTGTCCACATAGTCTGAATCTCTTCACCCCACGCGCGTAAGGTCTGGAGGATGTTGGGATGGATCGCTGATGGCACCGCCATAATATCCCTGATGAAGACGATGATGACCGTGATGTGACTGATGCCAGGAGGGGACAGGCGCCGGAAGGCCGAAATCTCGGCCAGAACACGTGTTGTTGCCGTTTGCGAAAACCGGAATTCCGCCACTGCGTGGATTGCCGTCGTGCTGAAGAAAGCTGCAAATCAAAGAAGATCTGCACTTAGTCGTGGCCGTTGTACTTGCCGGATGGTACTGATTCGCCCTCTCGGGGTTAGCAGCTGCGAACTGATCACCTGCTCCGCTGAAAAGCTCATGGCGATGGAGGCAGGGACAGGGTACGAGAAGGGTCGATGGATGCAGGAGGGGAGGAGAGCGATAAAAAGTCATCGTCTTCCTTTGTGGCGAAGGAGGAAGCAGACACAGCTGAAGATGGAGAGGAAGGGAGATGACGTAGATAGGACACGTGGCAGACGATCGGTCGAGCCGATCGGCTTCCCGAGACCTCCGGTACGAGGCGCACGGTGTTCACCCCGTTCGGTCCGAGTTCGATCACACGAAATCACCTGTAGAATCGTGGTGCTATCTTCCCTTGGCGAGCACATTTCCTCACCTGCACCAGATCCCCTAATTTATACTGGGGTCGTGGTCCTGCGTTCCCATTTTGGGCCTCGTAGCTGCGGATCTGTCGGTCGTGGGCCAACTCAGTCATTTTCTGGCGCTTTCGGGCTAATCGGGGAAGGGACCCTTCCATCAGCTCCATGTGCCGCTTGGCCTTGTCCCGAACCGTGGCCCTTGTGGGTCGTCGGTTCAATGAAGATTCATCGAGGAGGTTCAGTATCAAGACACAGGCTATGCTATTGGTTCGTAATTGGAAGGGGCTAAGGCCCGTTGATTCGTGAGGCGTTCCCCGATGGACGGCCAGGATGTGATCTACGATATCAGGCCAGGGCCTCGGATCCCGTGCCGCGATGTTTGGTCGCAACGCTGTCTTTATCACCCGATTTGCGTTTTCTACTAGGCCATTAGATTGCAACATGTGGGGTGCAGTATTCCGAATGGCGATGCCATGTACGACCAGATTCCTTAAGACTTCCCCTCTGAATTCTACCCCATTGTCGATCGGGATTTCCTCTGTGTCCTGGTGCATCCCTAGAAACCGGTTGACGTATCGCACAATTTCAGCCGCCTATCGTATAGGACACGGATACGCCACGATCCATTTCGAGAAGTGGTCTACAAATACCAGTAGGATTGAATATTCACAGCTATTAGGTTCAGGGGGCACCACAATATCGGCAGTATCCATGCTAACCCTCTTAAAAGGTCGTTCAACTACCGTCGGTACTATCGATCTTGGCGGCTGAATCGGCGTCTTGTCAACAGCGCAGACTTGGCAGTTTGCGACGATGAATTTCACATCATCGCGAATATTGGACCAATACCATTCGTTCTTGTCGATTGCCGCTTCCATGATCCGTACGGCAAAATGGGCTGCAGTTTCCTCATGCGCCGTCTTAACCCAGTCATACCTCATGAACGGGTGCGGCACTACCATCCAAATCTCACTTTCATCCGTCTTTCGTTTTTCTAACCCTAGTGACCGACCCTCGTTCCAGCGATAGTCCCTAGCCCTTTCGTTGGCCCTCCTCCGATCCTCCTTAGTGAAGTCCTGGAGGGGGTTACCTACTAAGGTAGCTATTAGAGCGATATCCGTCCATACCTCGGCCCTTCTAAACTTCCGGGTCTTTTCCAACCCTTCTGACGTGGCATCGAGAAATTGAGCCTCAGTCAGGATCTTATCAACCCGACATAAGGGACACAACCAAGGCTTTTCGCCATTTCTGTACTGGATACACGAGCCATGGGCTCGTGCGACATACTGTCGACAATCTATCCGTTCTGCATACCCTTCCCCACTAGGACGCATAGGGATCGAGTAGACGCGCGAGATCGCTTCACAAAAATAACAAAATTTGTTGGGTAGGGAGAGGAAAGATGAAGATGAGAGGGGAGAGAGAGGACTTGTAGGATTACCTCCGTCACCCATTGCCAATCGCCTGCTTCTTGCCACGTGGAAGGACTGCCACTTGTCCGTACTTGGGTCCGTTGGCTGACTCTGGCTCCTTCCACGGAATGATTTCTTCACCCTTAGGTACCTTAGCGGGGCGATGCAGACGTGTCAACCCGTTCGCGTTGCCGTGCCTCTGTGTCTTTGATGGATGATGTCGAAGTCGTATTCCTGTAGGCGCACAACCCACCGTCCGATCATACCCGTGTAATTAGTGAGCTTCTTGAGAGCCAGTAATGACTCGTGATCGGTTACAAGGAGGAACTTCTGTCCGTACAAGTACGGATGGAAGTGCTGAATTCCCCAGACTACGGCATAGCATTCACCTTGCGGGGTTGAGTCGTTCTTTCGTTCGTCTGGCACCGTACGAGATGTGTATTCGATGACGTGCTCTCGGCCGCCGTTCCCCTTCTGCGCTAGAATAGCAGAGATCGCCTCTGGCTGCCAGTCCGTGATAAGAATGAACTGCTTCGTGGGGTCCAGCCGGATCAAAATAGGTGTCGTCGCCAAGGCGCCTTTGAGGGTGGTGAAGGCCTGTTCGCACTCTGCGTCCCAACTGAGGGGCTGGTCCTTTCGCAGCAGATTCGTCAGAGGTCGCGCAGTCGCAGCGAAGTCTTTGATAAAACGACGGTAGTACGATGCCAGTCCCAGGAAAGCTCGAGCCTGCGTCACTGACGTGGGGACAAGAGCATCTTTTACCGTCACGACTTTTCTCGAGTCTGGCCTCAGTCCTCCACGTGTCACCACTTAACCCAAGAACGAGATTTCCGAGAGGAAAAACTCGTTTTTCTCGAGCGCGATCTTCAACCCAGGGTCTCTTCGATCTCCCAGTGTCCATTCGATGTGTTGTGCATGCCCGTGAAAGGTCTCCGAGTAGACGAGGATGCCGTCCATGTACACGATGACAGAGAAGTTAATCATCCCCTGAGTGAGCCGTGTCTTGTCGACGAAGTTCTGGAATGTCACGTTCATAGCCCGTTGAAATGTGGCAGGCGAGTTGCAAATCCCCATCGGACATCGAACCCACTGCCACGTGCCTTCAAATAGTACTAAGGCCGTTTTCGGTCGATCTTCCTCCTTAACCAGGATGTGATGAAAACTGTGGCGAATATCAAATTTACTGAAATAATTAGCACATCCAATCGCATCCAGCAAATCATCAATCCCGGGAAGGGGGTACACATCTTTAATCGTGATGTCATTCAACTTGCGATAATCAATGCATATGCGAATTGATCCGTTCTTTTTCGGCACCAATACTACTGGAAACGACCATGACCCGGTGGCGGGTTCGATCCAACCATTAGCTTCGAATTCTCGAATCTGCTCAAGGGTTGTTTTTCGTTCTACCAGGGAGTATATGTAGGGCTTACAGTGAATCGGGGGATGGTTTCCGGTTTGAATCTCGTGTTGTATGACTAACGACAGTCCAATGTCCGTGTCCGTCAGACTAATCGCTCCCTTGTATTCTTTCAGAATTTCCGCGATTAGATGATAGATCTCATCAGGTACGTATTGGGGCACGTGCAACTTGTACAGCTCATCCAGGGTTGTCGACCCCCGGCCCCGGGACCCCGTCGGGGTTCCGGGGTTCCGGGGGTCGGCACCCGGGACCCCAGCCCCCTGTATGGGAAAAAAAAAAAAAAAAAAAAATCGAAAAAAAAAAAAACAAAAAAAAACAGAG